GAGGAACAGATTGTTTTAGATGTTGAAAAGGCTAGAATAAAGCAAGCAATGTGGGATGCATTTAATGTTCGTGTACTCGAACCAAGACAAGGGGGAGCTGGATCATCAGATACAGGAAACGTTGCAAGAAAAGTTCTTGAAAATCCAGAGCTTCTAGCTAAAACTCTATATCTTAATGAAGAAATAATTAAACGTATATGCTATGTGCTAAACCAAATTCGAAGTTTAGAACCAGTTGATGATCTAGATGAATTTGATAGGTACTGTAAAGAAACATACAGAATGTTTTTGACAACATATAGTTGGTTCAAAATACCAGTAACACTTCACAGAGCACTTGCTCATGCAAAACACTACATGGAAGCCTTACCATTACCTCTAGGAAGAATGAGTGAAGAAGCCGGGGAGTCACAAAACAAATATCTCAGACAAGATAGAGAACTACGTGCCAGAAAAACTTCAAGAATACACAGTTTTACGGATGTTATACATAGAAGACTCTACAGTTCTGATCCAGTAATAATAAAAAAATATATGGATGTAATAAATAAAAGGTTAATGAGAAAAAATGTCCAAGAAGAAGGTGAAACACCTGAGCAACAAACAGAAAATGAGGAAGAAGATGAGGAAGAAATTGAATTGATTGAGCCAGAAGGAGAAGGTTATGACTTTTCCCAAGCAGAAAACTATGATTATTCCGAAGGACAAGACCATGAATATTCTGAAGAAGCAAACAACGAATGAATAAATAAATTTCATTAAATATGATAAAAAAATGTAAATTAAATTTCTTGACAAATAAACAAAATTTCATTAAACTAAAAATTAAACTTTATTAATTTTACCTATTATAGTTGCGTATCAGAGTATTTTTTTTATTACTCTAATGATAATAGCTTTTTTCAGACTTAACATTTCTTAAAAAAGTCCAAAAAATACTCGAGATTGCTTAAAAGTGGTATTTTTGAAAATGCAATTTTTGGGAATATTTCAAAAACTGCGTATGTCACAATCAACAGCCCTATAAATAACCAGGACTAAGTTAACTAGCAAGTATTATATATCGTTGGATAGGTATTACATTAGGCTACAATAATCCGAAAACAGAATTAAAAAATATTTTTTCAAAAAAAAGTTATAGTGGTTTAAGTAGGGTGACAAATGGCCAAATCGATGGAGAGCACATACCCCCTATATCTCGAAAGATTTTGAAGTTTTTGAAAAATTTTCTTCACAAAATCATTTAAATTGTTATTTTTCATAAGAAAACACCAAAAAACTATTTTTAAAACTATGTTTTCGTATTTTTAAAAGAATTATTAGTTTTTGGCCAAATACTCAACGACCTACTAAAATCAACATAACTCAATTACGTTAGCTTACTTTTTCAAAGTTTATACAGTTTTGAAAACTAGATATATGGGGCTACAAAACTGCGTTTTTACTTGCCTGGAAACTCTTCATTTATGATAGTTGCGGCTTGTTTGAAGATAATTTTCCTGAAATTTTCACATATGTTCTACCATAATGGCACGAAAACATTCAGAACCTAAACTTTGTTATATGTCAAAATAAAGCTCTTATATACTACTAATAGGAACTGAAAACCGTTTTGCAATATCTTAAACCAGTTAAGATATTTCCCGGTTCAAACATGGTATGAAAAAACCAGAATTTTCACTAGTTTTCAACTTCAAACAGCTCTAGAATCGCGAAATCAGCACCAAATGACCTGAAATTTGGCATTTCTATCTACTTTTATGTCCTCTACAAGAAAAAATCACCCAAAAAGTGTAAATCGGAAAAGTCCATTTTTCAAAGTGAAAGTCCCTTTTTTTTTCATTTTGCCCCATAGTGAAACGTCAAAAAGAATAAAAATGTTTTTGCATCTTTTTTCTGAACGCACTTTTGAAGCAAAAAATGTTTTGCATCTTTTTTCTGAACGCACTTTTGAAGCAAAAAATGTTTTGCATCTTTTTTCTGAACGCACTTTTGAAGCAAAAAATGTTTTGCATCTTTTTTCTGAACGCACTTTTGAAGCAAAAAATGTTTTATAACGTAATGATTCAGAATCATCATTAACAGTTCAAAAGTTTAAATCAATATACAAAATATCATTTAACAAATCAGTACAAATTTTCCCATTATTATAACTCTATGTTGTCTAAGCCTTACTAAACAATAAGTCAAAACAAGAACGAACAAAATGAAAATCAATTAATTTAATTTCGAAAAGAAACAAATGGAGAAAAGAAAAGAAAACAAATGAAAAAAATAGAAATTTATGAAATTTAATTTCCGCTCTCTATTTCTTCAATAGACGAAGACATGGCTATTAAGTTATTTAAAGATTCAATGAAAGCTTCTCATGTTTATGTATCTATCTCTCCAACCCCTCTACACGGAAGCTTCTTCCTTTTTGAATTAAAGATGCGCTGTTGTTCTTCCATTCTCATTGTTGTTGCTGTAGTTTTGTATAAATATAAAATACATCCATCATCGTCATATCATGTGTATTATAAATTAAGATTCTTTTTGAGGAAAGATGATTCTGTGCTTTCATTCGATGATGAATGAATCAAATTGGAGAAAGGATGAGCACGTACATTCGAAGTAAAATGTTCTCTATCCTTAATTGATATTTGAGAATGAAAATGAAAATTTTCTATTGATAGATTTTTTAATTCCATGGATTTTATTTCAGCAGTAGTCTACATGATTTAGAACTGAAAAGCTACTTTTAATATGAAAGTCGACAAAATGCAATTTAATAATTCCGAGAACCAAATGGATTCAGTATTTATCTGCCCTAAATTCATATCAATGGGAATCAATGATTTTTACCGGATAGTTAAAACAAAAGCTCGTTATATCCCATTAGTCAAATACAAAATTGCTATTGTATTTGCAACATAAAATAATTAGATATGGACTTTACGGAACTCCATTCTTATAATTAATTCAATAATTGCATCCATTATCCATTGATTTCAATAGCGCATATCCTATTCATTACAATGTATTTTATTAAAATACAAACAGTAAATATGTATGTCTGGCTCCAAATACAAAGCACACAACGTTCATCAAACTTTTACGCTTCTGTAAAGCTTTTTTTCAATTACATTTCAATGCATAATTATATTCATTCATAATGAACGAACCGGGTGGATATTCACTCTTGCGCATCTTTAATGAATTGAAAAAGGAAAATAAATTCGATAAATTTATTTTCAATTAGAAAGCAAAGCAAATAAGAAGCTATCAATATTGATTATTGCAATGTTGTTTTCAAGCTCTTCATTTGAACTCTTTTTTTTTGCATTGGATGAAAATGTGAAAGAAAGAAAAGCCATTAGAGTAGCGGAAGGAAAAACATGACTTTCGACAGAGATTTTAAATGAACAAAAAGGAGAGAAAAAGTAAATAAATGAAAATAATGCAAGAAATGAATAATAGGAAGTGATTATCGATGGACGAAGGAAGCGCGTTTTTCTCGAGAAATTATATTTGGATGGTGTTTTTGGGACTTTTTGATCTATTGATGCTTCATTCTTTATTAAGTACTATGCCAGAATATATGAACCCTAATCGCCTTGTAAGGTTTTGGAGTTCAACTTTTTCGCTTTCATCTATTTTAAACAAAACTTACATAGTACATCCCTTAGACAATAAAACTACACCTTCATAATTTAAATTCCGAGAAAAATGCGTCCCACAAAATAAAAAATTCAATCCAATTCAGTAAATGTGAATTGTAATTGAAAAACGTACAAAAAAAAATTAAAGTAATTGCAAGGAACGATGGAAAAAATTGCATATTTAATGCCAATATACACAAATTATTCGAACAGAAAAAATGTGCTACATAAAGCATAAAAAAAATGGAAAAATCGAATGAACATAAACGAAATAAAGAAGAATAATCAAAGCGATGCTTAATGATTGAGGATTGGAAACTTTGGATGAGATACATGAAGAGAAATAATTGCTATACTGACAAGATATTGAACTTCTTTTCGTCTAGAAACGATGCTTTATAGTAAGTGACAGTTACAAATAGACGTAAATTAGTTTCAGCTTCTTTAACTTCAATTACTAATTTCATTTTCAATCGTAATCTTGTTTCTGTTTACTTGCACACTGAGTTTCGATTTTGTGACACACACTCAGTGGAAGTGATGAAGAGATTGATGAAAGTATTTATTGAAGTATGTTTGAGTATGATTTGGTTCTGTTCAAAAAGAAATTATTCAATCTGTTGAGTTATTTTGGGAATGCTATTCAGTCTTCTGTCCAACAACTCAGTCAACATTTAGTTTGATACTCCTGAATCAGCCTTTACTTAGACACCACAGGTCCTTAATTTAATTATTAAAAATTGTATATCCTCAAATTTTATCTGGTCGATTTAATTGCATGACACAGGAGATTAATGCCAAAAATATCCAAACAGAAGCTCAAACAAATGATTGAATCAGAAACCTTCTCATGTCCATCAATAATTTATTGGACACACAAAAAAAACATTGAAATTTAAAATGCTTGTCACTATACCAAAATTGTCAAGCATCAAAATCCAAATTTCTCATCCTCTATTCAACACTATTTTCTTGTTATTCCATTGTAAATTCACCTTGTATCCTTTGGGAAGAGCACAAAATAAAATATTCGAAGTAGTTTTTTATGTTCATGTCATCAATTGTTGTCATCAATTTAATAAAAAATAGATTTTACATCCAAAAATATTATGGATGAAGAGCAGCAGTAAAAAAGAGAGAATAAGGATAAAAAATGCTGAATTTTTACATTTTTTTTTAACTGCTGGAAAAAGGACGAAAAGCTTCGACATTATGAATTAAGATGAAGGTCATTATTTAATGCTAAAAAAGGAGGAAATGGCAGATTGGATAGGTTCTCTTACCTTTTTAAAGGCACTTCACTTCTCTTTGCACCGGAACTTGAATAGCCTGCGCTACGTACATCTGTTAATCGTGCTGTTACCATGTGGAGTTCTGCAAGCGAATAATTTCTAAAATTAATTGGCGTAGTATTGAGCCGTATCTCCGCATCCTTTCCTTATATATGTTATTATGTATATATATTTACAAGAAAAACTATATCTAATTCTACCATATTGTTAAGATTCCTACATATGTTCTACAAACTCACGCTTCCACTCTAAACTACGTAATGGATTAGTCGAAAAGATTTGTACATGAATTCAGTGTAAATTAAGGACAAGAAAAAAAGGCTGAGGATAAAAGCATTTTCCTCTTTTAATATTTGCTGATTTGAAGCGCATTGTTGTGGATTAAATTTCATTTTTACTTCCTGTCTGGATTTTATTTATCCTAAAAATTCGCCTCAATTCTCTTTATACCCAGAAAAAAGGCACTAAACTTTTCCCAATGCTCCCAATTTTCACAGTCATAGATTTTTCCACTTCTAGTTCTATTTTCTCAATTTCTTCCATCCTCTTTAATGCCATACCTAAGCTTAGAGCTTTCTTTTTCTCCACTACATATATTTAGTGATGCTGTTTAGATCCGATAAAAAGAAAAACACAACTATGTATGACAAAGGGATGGACAAGGATGATTTATTTGATTTTTTTTTTTCATCTACATTTTCCAATAAAGAATTGTCTTGCTTTAGCAACGACCGATAAAGTGCATCAGCGGGGCGACTTTCATAATTGGAAAAAAATATCTAAAGCAAATTTTATTGATTTAAAATTGATGGAAAGATTCTTTTTTATAATTGAAAATTAATTGCGGTTCTTAAGTTGTCCTCCAGCAAGAATTGAATGCTGGAACTGAAACTTTATCTGCAGTTCGATTGATGGATTTAATTAAAAATCGTTTCAACTGCAAAGTGAGAAGATTATGGATGTAAAAGATAGTTTGTGACAATTTTTATTGAAATAATCTAGTTACGTAGATTTTGCAATTGATTCCTTCTGCCTGTGTGCTAGTGATTCACAAACTTTGATCTACGGCACCAAATTATGTATCTTAAATCTTTAGGTTTGTTGCGTCGCAGTTTGCAAAGCTTGAGAATCACTGGTCTGGCATTCATACTCATCTAGTAAGGAGTCGCGACACTGCAAACTTACACTTAAGTAATGGTTTGATGTATCACGGTCCAACAAAGTTGAGAACCACAGTCTTTGAAATCGTGCTTATCTAGCAACAACACAGACTTTAACTATTCATATCCAAAGACTCAGTTTTAGTTCTTTAATTCAAAAAATTAAGTTTTAAAATATTCAGGGCAATCATCCTAACTTCCATTTTTCACTACAGTATCCATTCCACATGTTAGTTGAAATCTCTAATTAAATTAATTAAAAACTTTTAAAATTTATAATCTTTAGCTGAACGAAAAACGTAAAATTGAATTTATAGTCTCAGTTGTTCCTATCCACATGCTTCTCACTATATAATTACCAATTAGCAAGAAATTTTCAAACATAAATTAGAGCTTGATCTCCATTAAATTCCATCCTGCATTAATTATTTCTCTTTTTCTTCTCGAGAGAAAAAAAAAATTAGGACTTAATAAAAGATATTTTTTTTTTCCTTTCAAGTCCGTCTTCAAGTGTCTATTCCTTCATCATGTTCCTTCATTCTATTATTTTTACGGTCAAAAATGCCTTTTCTCATTTCCACTGCTTTATAGTATTGAAACAGAGGAATTGGGAGCATCCTAAATTAGATTATTGACAAGGAGGGCATTTTGACAGCAAAAACAACAACAGAAGTAAAATTCTCCCTTTTTTTTACCAATTCATGATGAGCTCGTTGTTGTTTTTCCTTTTTTCGAAGAAGGCATTCAAAGACACACAGACACATCCACAAATACAAAAGGAATGGGAGAAAAAAGGAAAAGAATTTTTATGGTTGAAAATTTGAGATATTCGACTTTTTCCTTTTCGCTTTGTTACTTTTCTGATGACTGTTTAGCTGGACATGATGAGTTTGATGGGCAATTTTAGATTGACTGTCTAGCTGTTATGTTTGAACATGCTTCAGGAGCATTGGATGGAATTTTAAATATCAAAAAATCCTTGTCCTTAAAATATTTGACTTTTAGAAATTTCAATAAAGTAGTCTCAAATTCTTTGGACCGCGACACTGTAAACTACTGGAACCATGAAATATTAGTTGTAACGCCATAGATCAGAGGCATATCCAAAGGCGGTTTTCTAAGGTACCCTTCAATAAGAATTCAATGTACTTTAATATGAAATCTAAGATTAGGGTTGTGTACCTCGGGTAGCTATAAAAACCCGTCCAAGTGAAGGATATCAACCCCATAAAGTGACTGTACCCACAAAATGCGCTTCAAACTAATTACTATATCCACTAAAACTTAAGTTTCTCTTTTCATTAATTTCGTTTTGTTATAAAAGAGAAAAATAAAACTTTTTTCTTATCCTTTTTCCATTCTCTTTTGCGCATCAACATCAACATCATCATCATCATCGTCGTCGTCGTCATTGTCAATATAAATTTCTTTTCGTTGTTAGAAATAATAAAGATGTAGATATATATTTTTTGGCATATATAAATAAAGGAGTTTAGGCAGCGGCGTAAAAAGTTTCGAAAAAAAAATTCTTCATATTTTGTTTTCGGTTGTGGGTCGAAAGGGACTCTCTTAACTTCCATCTCATTTTTCCTTCCTTCTTCAAGGATGCTGGTAAAAAAGTAGTCTCTCATTAAGGTGGATGTTCCTTAATGAAACAATATTTTTCTTGTGTTTATGGATGGATAATGAGATGGAAGTGGAAAAACGACGAGAAAACATCATAAACATAAACATTTTCCTATGTGCTTATTAATGAAATTATGAAAATTTGATAGAAAAGGTTAATAGATGTCAAGAAAAAAAAAAGCAAGATGGGAACAACGTCATGTATGTGCTGTTGTTGCTACTTTTCTACTTCTTACCCTTAAATTTCTCTCTAATGAGTTTTTCATAGACTTAGAACTTTTATGTCTACTTGTTTTGGCTTCTGCGAGCAAATTCTTTTCTGTTTTAGACACAAATTCAGCTTTGAGAATTACGAATTAAAAGGGTGAGTAAAGTTCACAATAAATTATGTAAACTAGTATTATAGACCATCTTAATGTCTATTTACTGAAAACATACACAAAAAATGGCCAGCATATTAAATAAATACAGGCATCTGACACAAAAATTCACTAAAGGGCTCTTCAAGAGCTCAAAAAGAAAAAGTTTAAAATAGCAACAAAAAATATATAAAAGAAAAAAATATTTTTTGATGAGTCTAAAATGTGAGGCAGTGAGGTTGGGGAAGAGAAGAAATTAAATTATAACAAGTACATGATTATGTGTGTGTATATGCACGATGGGAAAATGTGTTTTTAATGTATTTTTTTCTGTGTGTTTGTTTGAACCTAAATTTATTTTTTTTTTCTACCCAGCAAAGCAGTGGTTCTCAATATTTGTGACACGACACACTTAGTGTTTCTTTTAAATATGTCTTTAAATCTTCAAATTGAGTACTTTATGAAGTTTGCGAAGAACTGCATTAAAAGGAACAATTTTTTTTTGTCATCATTTTTTACACAACAATTCTTCTTTTCTCTCTAAATGAAAATTGTTGAATGACAAAAGGGAAAGGAAAATGAGAGGCTGAGTTAAAATTGAATTGAAGTTGAAGACTTGATTGTGCGAATATATTTATAATGGTAATTTTTTTCAATCTTTTCTTTCTTCGGTTTTCTAACTTTATACAAAAGCTGTTTTTGGCTCTTAAGAAGTCGCTTTCTTCTACTTTTATTCCAAAAGTTTATTTTTATGGAAATTCATAAATAATTAGAATTTTTTTTTTGAATTGATAAGAAGATTAAAATTCCAAAAGTTGACAGAGATTTGATTGACTGAAACGATACCAATTATATCTTTAAGCTTTTCAAGCGGTAAATGACGAATCATACAGTTAATAAATTAACTTATTCTTTTAATGAAAGAACTTGGAAAATCAACTATCTTTTCAAATGAATCAAAAAGACTTATGAATTTTCTTAGCAAACAAAAACTTTCTTTCTCATTCATAACTTTTTACCTATTCCTTAATTAAAAGCGAATGAAAGGAAATAATTTGACTTTAAGAAATTCACTATGGGGCAAAATGAAAAAAAAAGGGACTTTCACTTTGAAAAATGGACTTTTCCGATTTACACTTTTTGGGTGATTTTTTCTTGTAGAGGACATAAAAGTAGATAGAAATGCCAAATTTCAGGTCATTTGGTGCTGATTTCGCGATTCTAGAGCTGTTTGAAGTTGAAAACTAGTGAAAATTCTGGTTTTTTCATACCATGTTTGAACCGGGAAATATCTTAACTGGTTTAAGATATTGCAAAACGGTTTTCAGTTCCTATTAGTAGTATATAAGAGCTTTATTTTGACATATAACAAAGTTTAGGTTCTGAATGTTTTCGTGCCATTATGGTAGAACATATGTGAAAATTTCAGGAAAATTATCTTCAAACAAGCCGCAACTATCATAAATGAAGAGTTTCCAGGCAAGTAAAAACGCAGTTTTGTAGCCCCATATATCTAGTTTTCAAAACTGTATAAACTTTGAAAAAGTAAGCTAATGTAATTGAGTTATGTTGATTTTAGTAGGTCGTTGAGTATTTGGCCAAAAACTAATAATTCTTTTAAAAATACGAAAACATAGTTTTAAAAATAGTTTTTTGGTGTTTTCTTATGAAAAATAACAATTTAAATGATTTTGTGAAGAAAATTTTTCAAAAACTTCAAAATCTTTCGAGATATAGGGGGTATGTGCTCTCCATCGATTTGGCCATTTGTCACCCTACTTAAACCACTATAACTTTTTTTTGAAAAAATATTTTTTAATTCTGTTTTCGGATTATTGTAGCCTAATGTAATACCTATCCAACGATATATAATACTTGCTAGTTAACTTAGTCCTGGTTATTTATAGGGCTGTTGATTGTGACATACGCAGTTTTTGAAATATTCCCAAAAATT